GCCGCTGACTCCAGACAACACTGGCGCTCTTTGTTGTTAACTCCGTTAAATTGCATTTAACTGCATTTAGTGTCATTCCGAAAAATAACTGAGGAGCTCCGCTTTTAGGCTGGCCTAAATCTATATATTATTGATTAATCCTTGTTGACTATTTTCTATGTCATGCATGCACCGACATGACGAGAAATAAGAAAAGTACAACAGAGCAGAATTGGGGGAAACTGGAAGTCGTTTCGCGGTACCATGGTCAAGCCAAAAACAAACCAGTGCTACACGTGCAGTTTCGACACGTTTCACATAGCTAGGCTTTTTGCTGAATAAACATGCGGAACTTAAACCTGTTACTTGAACTGAAACTAACAAATTTCATGCGTACCAGTAGTAAAATCAAATGAGGCCTTTCTTAGTGTTTGGATCGGGTTTGACTTATCGCTGAGAACTGATCAAAATCTAAATTGTTTGGTTGAGAAATGAGTCGGCTAAGGGTTTTGGTCACGTGGTTTACACTATGGGGAGAGGGGGATATAAAGAAAAATCAAAACGCCTAAAAGATTTGAGATTTAATCCGGAATAGCAATTTTTTGTGGGTGGGGGAGTCACAAAATGGTCTCCCGGAATGGAACTTCCTTGTTTAGCCGTTTGTAAAATGCAAAAGTGAAAATATTTGCACTTGCTGTGAATATGAGAGGTTTTTTTATGATTTATTTAAGGTTAACAGCAAAAGAAAAAAAAATGGAAGACAAATTTTGCTATTTGAACTAAACGTAAGTCTTTAAACTCTCTAATAACCCAATAACCTGGACTTGTGACTTCCCCTATGCCAGAGAAAGTGAGAGATCCCGGAATTTGAAAAGTGTAGAACACAAGCCGGATACGAGGTCGAACAATGAAAGGGTAATTAGGCACCACGCTGAAACAACGAATCACGACAATCACCCGGATTACGAAATTCTAAGAAACGTGTAATAATACGCAAAACTCTTTTTGCTACAAGCTTATCCTGGCAAAGGAAACAGAAAGTACGCCGAAAATTTAGTTCGAAAAACGTTTTTAGATCAGTTTCAAAAAATAGTTTCAATAGTCCCGTCCACACTAGACCGGAGAATTTTGAAAACGGCGTTTTCTCTCTGAAAATCTTCTTTCGTCCACACTTAAACGCAAAGCAGCGTTTTCAAATTCCTCTTGTTTGAAGAGCGTTCTCAAAAAGCTCCTTTTTTGTGACGGATTAGTGTGAACGGAAGGTCTAACCGTAGAAATGAAACTTCGATTTCAAATTTCTCCAGCCTAGAGCGGACGGGGCCTAAGCTAAATTTATATCAGTTTTCTTTGCTTGAATCACTCTGGAAAAAACAGACCTCTTAATTTAAACGTATTTGGGCTGATTCCCATATATAAAGCTTTAAAGTCAATCGTTAAAGCGCAGTTAATGGAGCGTGACGCTATTTACGTACAGTCA